ATTAATACGAAACATAATAAACGGGAAGTCCAGTTTACAGTGATTCTTTGGTGGTGTGGTTAGGCTTGTGCCATGTGCAGGTTTTTTTTATTATCTTTCCACAGCCTTTGAAGCCCAGACATTCAGCAGCGAGTGTGGATCCATCAGCACAAGCCTAGGAGACGGTGCTAGAAATGACTTCTCCATTTGCACGGAAAGCGGGAAAGGTAGATGTAACAACTCAGTCCAACAGGTTGTGCCAAATCCCGTGGGCGTTGGGTGAAATCGTGCTTCCACTCCCTTTTTTTTACCTGCAGCGGGGCGCCCCCATATAGAGCGGCCTTGGTATATGGAACCGAGGAAAAGAAGAGACAAAGACAGAATTTAATGGACTAATTCGGCTACCAGGAGTAGACGCCATTGCTGCGGTGGCGCGGAGCTCGAGGGCAGGTGGTACGCGCTCGTTATATACTTCTTTGACCAGTAGGGTGTTGCTACTCTCAAATTTCACGCGCGCCTCCGGTTAGAAACGCGTGTGAGTGTTTCCCCAGCGCAGTAATGGTGTGTCTGTATTGACCCTGATGGAATTTTCGGTCCTGTATCTAGGAGGACACTTTGGCGTCGGTATATCCTGCGTTCCAGATTCAAGCATCCAATTCCCTCTCGACGCTGACGAACCGGACGCACCGGCCTCTCTACTGACCAGCTGTGTGGCCACCCTCAACTTAGTGGAAGAAGGGAATGGTTCCACCACGGCCGATCGGGTCAGAAATGTAACAATGACCATCGCTAAAACGGAGGTAATCACCAACGCGGGACGTGGTCCTATGATCTGTTCCCGCGGCAAACCATTCCAACCAATGTTAGTTATTTTCTTCTCTTTTCGTTGCCACTGATGAGTTAACCTAGGTTCTTATTAACGAATTCAAACAGATCGGAGTAACGTCGGCGTGTAGATATAAATCACTGCCTCTGTTTCCACCCTTATGCTTACAGGAAGGTGCGGAAGACGACCGGCTTATCTGCGCATATTGGAGAAAACTCTACGCGAAGTAGGTTGACAGATATGGCCGTGTCCGAATCACTAATTGGCTACGGCCGGAATTACACAAGACTCAGTCGGAACTGGCCGCGGCCAATGCCGTGGACTCTTGCATAGTTTCCGGCCATAGCCAAGTGATTCGGACACGACCTATTTATGGTTTTGTTGTCCTGCTTTTTCCATCGTTTTGTTTGTTTCCTAATTTCTTATCATCGCATATCCTTGAAGAGATATGTGTACAGAGGGAGAGGCTACCTGACCTCTCTCGATTAAACGTTCTTGATTCAACAGTGTCACTGCTATTGAGCTTGTTACAGCGGTTAATAGAGGGATGTGGCATTCGAACGACAAAGCTTGAAATGGGCTTGTGTTGTGAGAGTTGATTACATTCCAGTATTACCAAATTTCCACTCTGGGAAACGATTCAGCATGGGCTCTGGAGTAAGTTTTGCAGTTTCTGGCCACATAGAAGTTTTTCCCTCCCAGTGTTACAGTTTTTCCTTTCTTTGGAATTAGCCTGCAATATTTCGTTACCTCGATTGGAAGCCTTTAAAGTTGAATTTAAGTATTGAAAATACTGAAGTGCATGCATTTTAAAACTTCACTGGCCTTCTTTCTTTCCCTTCTTGATAACAGTGAATCAGAAGGCTCGTGGTCTGAAGATGGCCTTCGCGTGGTAGGCAGCAACGCAAGTCACGTGATCTGCTCCTCTGACCACCTGACCAACTTTGCTATTCTTGTCCGGGTGGTGCCGAACAAGCAGGTAAATTCAACGGCAGCTCAGTGAAGCAATTTACAATATCCCCTGTATTTAGCACATGCTCGAAATATAAACAGTCGATCCCGACACCAAAGCAGCGCCCGCTACCGATCTGAGGTCTGCCTGCTGTGTCCTCGCTTTTGCAACAAGTATGGAGTCGTGTTAGTGAACGCGTTTTTTTGTGAGTCCTTATGTCATCAACTCTTTAAATCGGAAAGAGTGAAATTAGGGAAAAGACCTTTCAGAGTGAAATTCACTCTGAATTTAGAATGGAAAAAGGGCTTCCGGTGGAAGCTTGAGTGAAATTGCAGTCTTTTGGAGTGAAGAAAATTCACTCCAATTCGTCTGGTCCGTAATTTCAGTCTGAGGGATTGAATTTTCACCCCAATGGAGTGAATTTTCACTCTTTTTAAAGAGAACATTTTTTTATCAGATTTGACGATGACAAACTGGGCAACTTCCCTTCTCTAACTTGGCCTGTTTGTTTCATTTCAGCCATTGAGCCAAACACATGACACGATCCTGGAAGTCTTAAGCATAGCAGGTGGAGCAATATCGGTCACATGCCTCAGCATTACGCTCGTCCTCTATATTTGGTTGAAGTAAGTGTCTGTAAGACTGCGTAAGACTAAGTAAGTAACTGCGTATCTGCCTTGAGCAGAATCACCCCTTCATTGGCTGAAAAGAGATATGTTGGTGGGGAGTGTTCATTTGGTTGGTAGCGCACAAAAGCAACGCATGTATTCATAGTGAGTCGTGAACCGCCGAAGTGCAGTTGCCACCAAAGGAGCTTCTTTGCTAGGAGAATTGCGCCCTCTCTTGGTCCCACTCGGGGCCCATAACCTACTCTGTGCTTCGCTTAATAATACATTTAATTTATAGTATTTCTTACACGAATGTCATGTTCTTGATTTTTTTCTTCGTCCCACTGCTACAGAATAAAATGATAACCAAGACTTTAACGGTTGTTGCCGATACGTTCGATTCACAATGGTGCGCCTCCAAGAGTTTGAAACGCGTTGACTAATCACAGCACGCGAAATCTGTCGACCCTTTCTAAACGCGCAGTGGGCCAACAGATTACGCACATTGTGATTGGTCAACGAGTTCCAAACTCTCGGCTGCGCACTCGTGTGAATCGCCCGCATTAAGAAAATTTCGAAAAATGTGAATGTTTAAACACAATTCACGGTATTAAGGGTAGAGTCCGAATAATGATCATGGTCAAATGTCTACATTTTCTTTGAAGGGTCTATCGAAGTCAGACACTCGTCATCCACGCAAATCTTGCAGTCAGCATCCTAGTTTCACAGGTGATCTTTCTCGTGGGAAAGGATGCCATTGACAACAAGGTACAAGACCCATCCCCGAGATGTTACTCGTTTCACGCCCATGCAGTACTCCCAAAATGCCCTACGCGCGACCAGTCTCAAGCGATTTCTTGCGAGATTTGACCTCATTCGTAAAAACACAATGTGGATCAGAGGTTTTTGTCCTCCTACGCCGCTTCCTACAAATTTCCACATTTTCTAACGATTGGAGTATGTGGAACGCCAACGGAGCCTCGTGAGGCCCCTTGGTATAAATGGTTTCAGCAAAGTTAAGAGGAACCTTGTCTGTGCTGATTTCCATTATATTCCTCATAGGGTGTGTGCAAGCTTGTGGCGGCGCTGTTGCACTATTCCTTGCTGTCCTCGTTTTCCTGGATGATGCTAGAGGGCGCCAATCTGTATCTGAAATCCACCAGTATTTTCCGGACCAACATTCAAGTCTGGCTACTTTTCGTGTTAGGATGGGGTGAGATGTAATCAGTAACTTCCTTGCTGTTGTCCATCCATCAGATAAGCATCTTCCGATCACCCTAGCCGTACTTTTTCTTCAGTAACCTGTTCTATGTGTCCTGTTTGCCTGTCTTTGGTTTCAAACATTGAGTTCCAAGCATTGAAACTACAAGAACACACAGCTTTCTGTTTCAATCGTTCAAGTGATATTTTCAATAAGATTTAGGAATGAAAACTCTGTAGTGCTGTAGTTTTAAATCTGCATTGACGAAAACATTGACAAATACACTGTTTCACCATGAGGACTATTTCTATTTCTCTATATATAGAAGTAAAACAATAAATAAAAAGTGAACATTAATCTTGACTCTTGATAAATACCTATTGATTTAATTCCCCGCCTGATACCTTTTAGGTGTTTAAGAATCATTGTTTGTCGCCAGAATATCTTGATTAAAGTATTACATTTCAAACTCTCTCCCGTTTAACTATAGTGAGCCCCTTGCCAATTGTTGGAGTATCGCTTGGAGTGAGATTCAACGACTATACGTCTGTGCATAGGTAAGACCTGCGAAACTGGTTAATTAAAGAAAACATACCAAGCCAACACCAACAGCCGCCAAGGGTCCTTTAGACAGGCGTGTGGGATGTTTTGATGCGCCTCAGGTAAAATGGCTGACATTTGAGACGCTTGGTGGCAGTGAATGAATCGGAAAAAGAAAGACCGCTGGCATATTTGAACGTTACTCCAAACACAGCCACTATCACAACCCCAACCATAGCCACAGCCACGACTATTACCACAACCACGGCTACATCCACCATACACCATAACCACAGTTGCTATAATTCTTATAATTACTAAAACAACCATAAGGACAGCTGCGCAGCCACTGAAAACAAGGGTCACGGGGGGCGGGGGCAGTGGCTTTCTTCAGGGAAAAGAGAAATATAAAAAAGAAAACAGGAAAAATGCTAGAGAAATGAAAGAGAGTGACAATGAAAAAGCGTCGTAGTTGACGTCCTTCCACAGTTCGCGATTGATCAGTTCGTTGCTGATGAGTCCTCCGTCCTGGAATTTTTTCCCTTGGAAACACCCATCATTGAAAACCACTCGAAATCGTTCATAATCAATTAAAACTGATACGAACATCAATATTTTACTGGTTCCCGACCGCATGTCATAAAAAGCTGAGCAGCTTTAGGAACAGCAAGACTGTTAAACTGTATACGGTTGATTCACAATAGTGCGCCTCCAAGAGTTTGCAACGCGTTGGCCAATTACAAAGCGTGAAATCTGTCGACCCTTCCAAAACGCGCATTGGGTCGACAGATTTGTGTATTGTGATTGGCCAACGCATTGCAAACTCTTGGAGGCGCACTATTGTGGAAACGCCCGTATTAGAGACTTGTACCAACTTGCAGATGCCTTTTGGAAACATTTTTATATCCCCATTGCCGTTGCTTCCTAGCTGCTGGCTGAACAACGAGAACGGTCTTATCTGGGCGTTCGTCGGCCCGGTCATCATAGTTACCCTGGTAAGTTAGCCTCCGTCGCCAATATAGCATCAGCTGAAAATCAATATCTTCTAACGAGGGAACCCCATCTAACAAATGTGTTTTAAAAGTTTTATCGACCCCCCACAAAACAAACCAGTGTCAAAACATAACACTCTGTGTATCAAGAATGCTGAACTTATACTAAGCCGGTATTTTTAGGTTTTTCGGTGTATGACGTTGACACAGTTAACCCCCAAATCGAAAACCTTTGCGTAGTTTTAAAACAGCTTGCTAAGAAACACCCTTTAAGTTGTGAAGAGTTCATTCCCCTCTGTAGCGCCGCCATGTTTTCAGCGACTTAGGACGATTTAGTAAAGGGGTTTTGAGTGGAGAAGCAGCAATGATGTCATGCTGATTAAAGCACGCATGCAGATGCAGACATTGTACTTCGTTCAACAGGACAACCTCAGATAGTTTCCCTTTTCAACAAAGTGCAAATTGACCGTGTATTAACATTTTGATGGTGCCCAATGAGAAGTGACAATGCCCACTGCGTAAATCACGCACTGGCGCCTGGATACGAGATAGTTGAATCGATTCGGATTGGTCAAGGGTGTGTGTGCACACAATGCCACGGCTCGCCACGCACGCGCCAAGTCCATATAAGGTGATTCTTTTGGACAGCTACAAAACAAAATGGACGGGGGTGTTCAGAAAATAAAAGTAAAAATCCACAACAAGATCGTTGGACATCCATCATATATTGACTTCCTTTGACTGTCTGACCAAAAAAAAGTTATTTTTGAATGGGAATGAATATGTGCTTTGGCGGTAACGTTTAAGACAGGCCCAGGAGACTGAACGCTGATAATGCCCTCGCCTGCGGCTCGGGCATTAGTCACGTCCATTCTCCATAGCCAGACTTAAATGCACATTTAAGACCGACCAAGCCCATGTTTATTCCCTTACTTAAAGATTGTAAATTTCGAAATAAGGTTGGGACTAATGAACTAACGTCTGGGTGCGGACCGAAGTGGTATCGTTTCTACTGTGCTCCCATTCGCTCGGAAGCAATACTGTCTGTCATGAATTGGCGTCACGAAATCTGGCAAAATATCGTCTCCATGTGGCACTATTGCATGATGCTCATTAACTTAGCGGAGACGCTGTATACTTTCTCGAACAGTTGAATTTGTGCGTGCTTCTCAAAGTGATCCACGTGTTTCTATCTCTGGAGGCGATGGCAGACAAGCCTAGAGCGAAACGAATCAAGTAGGTGTGATCAGGTATTATCCTAATAGTAAAAACGTCCGTGGAGAGATGGACCCAGGATCAAAAAAGACACATTTGTGTTTGTCAATCTGACTTGGACAAAAAAATAATACATGTATCATCCGGAAAAGGTTTCGGCCCCCGGAGACCCAGATTGTGTGGAATCTGACCAGGTAGTTTTTGTGTGATCATTAAGACAGGGGACATGCTCAAAGCAGTCCTCCAGGCTAGGAAGAAATGGTAGAAATGAGGAAATAATGTAAAAACCCACTGAATCAGAGCCCAGAAGTCAGCTAGGGAATCTAGCAATAAACTTCGGCTCAATTTTCCCTAGGCCACTAAGACGCCGAGAAAAGTGCATTTTATCAAAAGCCACGATGCAGAAAATGTGGATGTACAAAAGTTAATCTAACCTACCCACAAACACGATTTTTTTTCACGCACAACGTTCCGTGTATATTTCTCTTCTGGATGTGATTTTCATTATGTGGCAAGGATATACATGCTAGATTATGAATATTCGATTTGACATGTCACAACGAGCTCAGTATAAGCAGCATCCAGCTTTACTGAGCTGGAGAAGGCGCAATCCCTCACAGACAGAAGACCATGCACTTTGTCATTAGCATTATCAAAGTTATCTGATACGGCCGTGTCCGAAATGGGCTTCCAGAGCTACGGCTAGGTCTACTGTCTGTGCGTCTCCACGCAATTCCAATGGAGCGAAGACCTAGACCTAGCTCTAGACAGGAGATTCGGTTGCAGCCTTAAAGAACGTTAGTCGCTTCTGTTTCGCTGGGTTTGTGTTCACATAACTTACAACTGAAGCCTTATCACCCTTGATGTACTTGAAGGGCCGGTGCACGCGCAGTTTTGCTGCTGACACCTCTGCTGGGAATCACGTGGCTGATTGGCCTATTCGTCAATGTGGACGGAGCAGACTTGGTGGTGTCTTATCTGTTCGTCATTCTCAGCTCGTCACAGGTAAAAAGGCACAACCTGCTAACCCATTGACCACACTGGAGGTCCACGTTTTATCGTTCAATATGACCAACCTTTCAAAGGCTTGTAGCCAAAGCTACACTTTCTATACATCACTCAAAAGCGAGCTACCCGTATCTGCACTCTATCACACCATCGGACACACTCCGCACCTCAGTTTGCGAGGTTACATAGAGGGATCCCAATACGACGCTTTTAGAGTCGATCTGCGCACTTCCGCGTTTAAAAAAGGCTGTATGTGTCAGCTTCAATTCTTAACAAAATCAGACGATTGCAAGCAAGGAGTCAAGACACAAAATACATAAATGTAT